ACCCGGGAGGTGGAAGTTGCAGTGAGCCGAGATCATACCACTGCACTCCAGCCTGGTGACAGAGCAAGACTCCTTCTTAAAAAAAAAAAAAAAAAGATTTAGACATGTTTGCTGCCATTAGGTACATTCAACAAGTGTCAAGAATCAGCAGGATGCTGGATTAAAAGAGAACAGTAATAGATAGTGACAACTGGATCAACCACCTCCTACAAAGCAAGGATGGAAGCACCTTTCCCAGAAAGCGCAGACTGTCCGGGGGGCTGACCCAGGCGGGGAGTGCTGGAAACACAGATCGGAGACAAGGAAACGCCAGAGGTGCAATGTGTTCATTTAATCATGGGCACTAACATCAAAAGTTAATTTGGAAAGCAAAGAAAACATTCTAGCAGGATGAAAGAGCAGGCCTTTACACCTTCTCAACTGTTAGCAGAAGGAGAAGAAGAACTCTGAGAAGGGAAGAATACCAAAGACATAGAAACATTTGAGAGATTATACTGAGCTTAACTAGAAGATTAATATGCGGATGAGGCAAAACTTTAGACAGTAGACTTTTCCTAAGTGAATTTCTTTTGGAAATACAAGCAACACTCAACTTAGAGGACAATATTTATGCCAGAGGTAGTGAGGCCACGGATTATATAATAATTTTCTTTAAACAGCAAATGGCCAGGCACGGTGACTCATGCCTGTAATCCCAGCACTTTGGGAGGCCGAGGCAGGTGGATCACCTGAGGTCAGGAGTTCAAGACCAGCTTGACCAACATGGTGAAACCCCGTCTCTACTAAAAATGCAAAAATTAGCTGGGTTTGGTGGTGCATGCCTGTAACCCCAGCTGCTCGGGAGGCTGAGGCAGGAGAATCCCCTGAATCCGGGAGGCAGAGGTTGCAGTGAGCCAAGATTGCGCCACTGCACTCCAGCCTGGGTGACAAGAGTGAAACTCTGTCTCGAAAAAAATTAATAAATAAACAAACAAACAGCTAGTAACCAGGTTTGGACATATGGAAATTCCTTCCTTCTTGTTTCAATTCACTGCTCCTTTCTAAGCACAGAACTGCTCTGTCATGTAACAGGATGATTGGCAAGGGATGCTCTGTGACCCCTGAAGTGTGTGCCCCTAACAAAGAGCCATATCCTCTGCAGAGAGTTCTTGGTGGAGGATGCTCTACTGGGAAAAGCCAAGCCACTGGGTGATGCATTGCCCTCAAGTGTCCCAGCGATTCCAGTGACACCTGCCCTGCATTACAAGTACTGCTTACACATGGCGGGGAAAAAAAAAAAAAAAAAAAAAGCACATGTCAGTGATTAGTTGGTATTACTGAGCTATTGGAAAAGCTGCCAGCAACTGCAGCAACTGCTGAGACTCAGGAAACAATACCCCAAAGGAAGACCTCAGAAGCAAGAGCTTCTTCTGCCCACTTCTGCCTTCAGTTCCTCAGCCCAATTCTCCTGAGACCAGACAGAGAAACTGCAATCCCTCCTCCTCCAGGCATGTCACAGTAACCACAACTCCTGTGCCCCAGAGCCAGCCCTAAAACCTAAAAGTATTACTCTAACTTTCCCGCCACCCTTCTGGGTAAAAACTGGCGACAAAGACACGCTCTGAGCCACCTTGTTTGAGTGTCGGTCACCAGACCCGATTCCGGAGAGGGCCCCGCCCCACACCAGCAGGAGGGAAAGCTGCCCAGAGAGGCCAAGAGGAATCTGGACAGACAGGCCATGCTGGGTGTCCCCACTCAGTCTATTCGCATTAGACCACACCTTTCCGTCCAACCATACGCCTACACGGCTGCCCGTACTTTGTGAAACCTGAGCATAAAAACGGACAGTTTCCCTGTGTCTTTGGGTCTTCAATCTGAAGGCTCCTATGTCCACTTTAATACAATTTGTACGTCTTTTCTCAAATGAATCTGCCTATTGTGAGTTGATTTTTCAGCGAACCTTCAGAGGGTGAAGGGAAAATTTCTCCTAGGCCCTGACACAACCATAACTACTGCAGTTTGAAACAGGCATGCTCCACAACCTATAGTCACAGCTATAGAAAGTCATGGAACACAGACGGCTATGGTTCAAACCAGTACGAGAGAGAGTTCAAAAAGCTAAGGAGTTAGGCTGGGTGCGGTGGCTCATGCCTGTAATCCCAGCACTTTGGGCAGATTATCTGAGGTCAGGAGTTCAAGACCAGCCTGGCCATCATGGTGAAACCCCGTCTCCACTAAAAATAAAAAAAAATTAGCAGGACATGGTGGCAGGTGCCTGTAATCCCAGCTACTAGGGAGGCTGAGACACGAGAATCGTTTGAACCCAGGAAGCAAAGGTTGCAGTGCGCTGAGATCATGCCACCGCACTCCAGCCTGGGCGACAGAGCAAGATCCCGTCTCAAACAAACAAAAAAGCTCAGGAGTTGGATAGCGCAGGGGCTAACATTCCATCTAAGCAAAGTGACTATAATACAACCACTTTTTGACATCTAAATAAACTTTGTGCCTTTAATGACTATTTTCTGATTAACATCCCATTACGGCCTGAAGACAAAACAAAGCTGAAAGGGCCAGATTGTGTGAGAGCCAAAGAAACCCTTTCACTTATTAAACCATTGACCATTTTAAGACATATTCTAAATGGATCATTCTAGCAATTAAGCAGAGGGGAAAGGAACGGTAGGGGATATAAGAAGGGAAACCAGAAAGAAACTTTGACAGTTGATGTCAAAAATAAGAAAGGCTCAAACTAGTACCATGGCTGTAAGGAAGAAAAGAAACGGGAAATTTTCCAAA